CGGTGTTCCCGCACCCGCTCCCGGTTACGCTGCATCTGGCATTCGTCTCGAACTTAACCAGTGAAGGCAGTGTTCTCGCCCCCGCTCCTGGTAGACGCTAGACTGCCTTGTTTATTAATCCAGCTAGGTGAAGGCAGCGCTCTCGCTCCCGCTCCCTCTGCCGGTAACGTGGGCATAATTACATCCCTCTTTCTGTTCGGCGAGTAGCAGCACCGCTCTACTCTTTCCGTTAAACAGGTAGCTGGTGCAGGCTGTGTTCCCGCACCCGCTCCCGGCTACGCTGCATCTGGCTACCCACAGAAAGGCTCATTCATGTGGGCTGTCCCCTAAGGTGGATCGGTTAGCTGCCATCATGGAGCAGACAAAGCCGCTCCTGTTGGCCCTTCAGCCAGGGGCCGGTGTGGGGGCTACTAGCTTGCCGCCTGGCCCGCCTTCGGTTGCCACACCTCTGCTTGAGGATGCCATGTCGCTAGCGGCTCCGGCTGAACCTCTTCTTGAAAGGGGGGGGGCGGGGCCCCGCTCACCCCCGAAGAGGCTCCCCACTCCTCTGCTCAGAGCTCTTTGCAGGGCACGGAGGACGGCTCCATGGCGGCCATTATTCGTGCGGCCCTGGTACGCTTGCAGCTTCAGGTTCCGCAGGCCGACCCAGGCTAGCGCCTTCTTCAGGCATAACCCTGCCCCTTTCATTCCCACTGTTCCTCCTTTAGAGGAGTACCTGAGGGAGCTCCATGCATGCTAGAGACACACCAGGGCCCTCTCCCACTCTGCTGCCATGCAGGATCCGGCGAGGGTGGGGCTGGGTCGCTTGCCATCCATTGAGCCTGCCATCGCCTCCCCGATTCTGGCCTAGGATGCCAGGCGCCCTCGGCCTCAGTGCAGCGTCACAAACGAGCTGCTCTGTAAGGCCTACGACGCAGCCGCACGGGAACTCCCTCTCCCATCTGATACTAGCGGTCTTTACCTCTCTGCAGCAGGCTCCGGCTGAGCCTTCTTTGCTGGGCCTCAGTGATGCATCACTGCAAGCCTTTGCCCTAATGCTAGGGAATTGGGACGAGTCATGTCCTTATGGTGCAGACTCGTCGCCAGGTTTGGCCTGCTTAGTCACCACTGTCGGAGACATGTCCTCCGTAGTGTGCCAGTCGAGTCAGGGGAGCTGTTTGGGGCAGCTGCCCTGTAGGCACTGGAGCGTGCTGCCCAAGCTAGGCAGACCAGGCAGCAGCTCTCGGGTCTTTATAAGCCTGTGCCCACTCCCAGCAGGCCCAGGGGCCCCTCTAGCAGCCGCACTCAGCCACCAGCTTACAGTGGTGGTCTGCGCAGGTCCCAGCGGCCCACTCATCCGTTGTGCCCCCGGCTGCCGGCCTTCTAGGCGGCCTCGTGCCTCAGAGCCTTACCGGCCTCCCCCCAGCAGCAGCTCAGCTACTGGGCTGTCTGTACTTCCGGCCCTTGGGTGGTTTTCACCTTAACCCAGGGGTACGAACCGCAGTTCTGGCCTTCGGCCGGGCCAAAATGACAGTCGTCAGCGATCCGGCAGATGCCCTAGCTCTAGCCCAAGAGTTGTCCGTCCTTCTGCCCAAGGAGGCAATCGAGCCAGTAGACCCTCTGCTTAGCCCAGGGGGTTCTACTCTGCGTACTTTCTCGTGGCCAAGAAAGTCGGCGGATTTCACCTGCTCTTGGACCTCAGAGGAATCGACAGATTCCTCTGAGGTGCTGCCATTCCATATGCTGACCGCAGCACATGCACAGGGGGAGTGGTTCGCAACCGTGGACTTTAGGGATGCCTACTTCCTCGTGGGCCGGGCAAGAGGGTGCCTTATATTCAGTTCCTCCGGCCCTTGGGCAGACTGACGGCTGCCTCAGCCGTTGGGCCCTTAGGCCCGCTGTCGTTGTGCCCCATGCAGATGTGGCTGATCAGCCTTCTCTTGGATGCCAAGTGGCACAGGCACAGGAAAGTCAGAGCGTTGCAGCGTTGTCTCCACTCTCTGTCACGCTGGAGGGGCAGGGTCTATCTCCTGATGGGCGTGCCCATGGGCGCCATCCCATCCCGCCAGGAGACCGTCACCATAGGTGCATGTCTCTTAGGGTGGGGTGCAGTGCGGCAGGGCAGGACCGCTCAGGGTCAGTGGTCTGCCCAGGAGGGTGCACGCCATGTCAACGTGCTAGAGCTTCTGGCTGTGCAGCTTGCACTCACGTACTTTCTACCCCAACTGAGGGGCAAGAATATGCATATTCCTTGGGACAGCAGGTACACTGTTGCCCAGACGGCAGTCCCTTCTAGATAGTGGACGTTCTCACTCCACTCTGAATTTATGTGGCTGCTATTTCTGCCCGACATGTTCGGGTCGACGGCGCCACGGCGGGGTGCCTCAGGTTGGTGTCCCTCTTCCTGAAGAGGGGCTTTACGGCAGCGTCCCCCTAGCACCCCGAGGGCTCCGGCTTGGGACCTGCCCCTGCTGCCGGATGCCCTATCATCTCCTCCCTTCGAGCCCCTGGCCCAGGTGGGGCTTTGGTGGCTGCCCACGAAGGCAGCATTTCTGCTTGCCATGGCCTCAGGGAGGCAAGTTGGGGAGTTACATGTCATCTCCATAAACGATACATGCCCGAGGTGGGACTCTCAGGTGTTGCCCTTGGCATTCCTGCCCAGGGTGCTTCCACAAACCCACTTCAATCAGCCTGCCCAGCTGGCACGCTTTGACATTCGGGAGAACGGCACGTCGAAGTTGCTGTGCCCTGTGGGTGCCCAAAGGGCGAATATCGAGGCTACTGCCTGTATACGGCAGTCGGAGCAACTCTTGTTTTTGCCATAGCGGCACTAAAGAAGGTGTGCCCTCTACCAGTGGCTGCCCCACTGGGTTGTCGATACCATCTCACATGCCTACGGGGCCAGTGGCCGCCCCCTGCCATCTGGGCTGAGATACCACTCTGCAAGGAGCATCTCAACATCTTGGGCTGCCCTGAGAGGGGCGCCCCTGGAGACCATCTGCGCTGCGGCGTTGTGGGCGTCTTCTGGCACATTCTCCAGTTGTTATCGGGTTAATGTCGCCACTCCCCATTCTTTGGGCGTGGTCCTTTTGCCGAGCTCCGCTGCTTCCAGTAGTGAGCCAGGGCTTGGATTCTTCATGACATGGTTGGTATAAGTCATCCAGTGTTAAAGCACCGCCTCTGGCGGTCAGTAGGGACGAAATAGAACGATAGTTACGGCTGTAACTACGGTTCTATGAGTCCCGGATGACCGCCAGAGTTTCCTGTCACTCAGAACTCTTGTGTGCTCGCGAGAAGATTCTGGGAACAGATCCTCTGACGACACCGGCTGGTATAGCCGGTGTCACGTGGGTCACAGGTGACTTTGTTGTTATTGGTACTCGAGCTGCGCATGCGCACAATGGACATATCCAGTGCTAAAAGCACCGCCTCTGGCGGTCATCTGGGACTCATAGAACCGTAGTTACAGCCGTAACTATCGTTATAGACTGGGCTTTCTTGTACAAGAGAATACAAAAAAAAAAATCTATATGGACCATTACTGTATAATGATCCTTAAATGATGTTATACAATGCACCTAATAAACAAGTATGGCATTTTGAAACATGATGTGCAACCATTTTTACTGTAATTTGTGTGCATGTTGTTGTTAACTAAGATGATGTTATGATTTATTTTGTGTTAGTATGCACGTGGATGCTTTGGACATACCTGGAGAAGGAAGAAATGGGTCTTCGGAATGATGGGAGTTAAAGACAAATGCGGAGTCTAGTGTTGAAACTAGTGGAGAAACGATCAAGATGCAACCTTGTCCCTCTGATTAGACGGCATGTTAAGTCAGGAAGTAGCATTATTAGTGATGAATGGAGGGCATACAGGAGAGTGCTGAGTAACATGGGGTACAACCACTGCACCATAAACCACAGCAGGTGGTGTGTGAACCCCAGACTGGCAGTCATATCCAACATAATGAAAGAGCTTGGTCGACCGTCAAAGGACATGTCCGTAGACTGAGACGAAACCGTACAGAGTTTGTTGGAGGGACACCTCAAGGTTCTTGAATGGTCATCTTGGCTTTGCTCTGCTCTCCCTGATGGACTGCTTGGACGCTTGTTCAAGGATATACACAAAGCCTTTCCAGTCTGAATACCATTATGTCTTACCAAGTCTTTCATTTATGTCTGAGAAAAGCTTTTATGTTTAAATATGTGTATCAGTCATACTAAACAGTCATTACTTTGAGTCCTAATTTTCTTCATGTGTGAATAAAATGTTTTGCTTGGCTCTTTTGCATCATACTTTGCATTTCATGTGAAAATGTGTATTAGGTAAGCATGAATGTTATAACTCATTCATAAATGGACATGTGTATTAAACTTAAAAACAACGCACCCTTTCAGTAGTTATAAATGTTAGTGACTCATCAATTGATGGTGATGTGTTTCACACTTTACAATAAGGCTCCCTTTTACCAATTATAAATGGTTGTAACTCATTAATAAATGGTGATGTGTTTCACACTTTACAATAAGGCTCCTTTTTGGCAGTTATAAATGTTAGTAACTCCAGATACCAAGGATGCTGGCTGATGAAGAAGGCGAAGTAAGCTAAGTAGCCAATATAAGACTTAGCAGTACAGATAAATGTGGGCTCACTATTTGGCAAGCAACCGGTCACAGTTGCCCTGTTTATCTCATGTCTTATAAAAGTTTATTTATAAAGTGTTCACAACCTAATTAATAAATGAATTACAAACCCTTTATAAGGGTAGTCTTATTGTAAAGTGGTACCCGTTAGGCTATAATAATGATGAAAATAATAAATTGTATAGGTTTTTTTTACAAGACACGAAATAAACCTGTGGTGGATATTTATTGAAGTATTTTATATTTTTTAACACAACATTAAAATCCCTTAACTTGTGGTAACCATGGAAGATGGAACCGGAAGAGCAACATTTGTAACTTTTGTGAACAGCCTAGTTTGATTCGGTGCTGAAGAGAAGATAATTTTTACTAACCAATCAGAGCATCCAGATCTGGAGTTGTGTGGTTGGCATCCAACACATGGAGGTCTTGATCATCTGTTCCTTCTCCCCTCTCCTCTTCCTCTTCTCTGGCTCCTCCCCCTCCTCTCTCTATGTCCTCTCCCTTGTATCTCTCCCACTCCTCCTCTCCCCCTCTCCTCTCTCGGTCCTCTCCTCCCTCCTCTCCTCTGTCTCTGTCCTCCATGTCTGTCCCGAAGAAGCCGGAGGCCTCCAGGGAGGCATCAGCAGCTCCTGGCCCGCCAATGAGCTCCTTGTCTGGGTCGCTGGAGTCTGGACTCCCCCTGTAGCCTTCTGCATCCTGAGGAACCACTAGATGGACCATACGCTGGAAATGGAACAATATTTGTTGGGCACATAATCTACAGTATAATTCGTTGTAATATCTCGTTTTCGAGATATGTGCTCCATTTTCACAACCTAATTCTTCCTGCTGTGATTATGTTTGCACCACGCAAATTCCTTGTATGTGTACATTAACCTGGGAATAAACCTGATTATAATACCGATTCTGATATTTGATACAAAATAACTATTCTCAGAGATCATAGCAAAACTGATTCAGAACTAAAAAAAGTTTTAATAAACTGTCTGTACAATTCAAAAAATGTGTTTTTACCTTCGCTAATAAATTACTAGATTTGTTCTGAAGCTAAACAAAACACTGACACAAAATTATTTCATGTTAATGTTTTTACATGATATCGGCTCCCTTCATAAACGCATTTATTCCTGTTTTTGTACGTTTTTCTGTATGTTGCTTCCATCATGTCATTTGCACTAAATTATTGCACAATTTAACGTATTATTTTCTTTAAAATCTTAAGTATAATGTATTTTGCATTGTTTGAGGAGCCTGGAGCTTAAAGGTAGGGTAGGTAAGTTTGAGAAACCGGCTCGAGATACACTTTTTGTTATATTCCATGGAATGCTCTTAACATCCCGATAGCAATGAATATCTTAAGTGCTTTGACAAAAAATCCATAAAAAATGTCATCTGTGGAAGCCGTAGTACTGTAAAAAGCACGACCAATCATTTTAGCCGGCCCGGCTAAAATGATTGGATGGCCTACCTGCCTGTCAGCCTTCCATCTGTGCACAAACTTATCTCGTGCCCTCATTGGTCATGTGCGCGTTCGTGTGTGTTGGAGGAGGGGCTCTGTAAGGAAGTGGCAGATTTTCTCCGGTTGTGTATTTTCAAATTCTAGCACACTCGAGCTGGTTTCTCAAACTTACCTACACTACCTTTAAGATTTTCTTTTGTAACAACTAAGCTGTAATGGTTGTGCATATAACAATAAAGCCTTTGAATGTTGAATTGTAATAAAGCATGGAGGTTTGCATGCATGTATGTTACCCCAGTATGTTTTAGGTGTGCCTTGTACAGTTTATTACACATCCTCATGAACTTATGCTCACCTCCATCTCGTCTACTACACCAACATTTTCCTCCAAAGCAGGGCGGGTCCTGACTGCTTCTTGACCTGCGGGGGGTGGAGGGTTTATCTGAGAGGAGTTATCAGACTCCATCTTGTCCTGGGAACGGGATGTTTCGTGGATCTCTGGTCGGCCCATGTCGTGAACCAAATGAGGCTGGACCCGCACTAACTCTGTCACTGAGTGGCGCTTGGTTCTGACTAATTCCTGGATGAAGTGTGCCTGGGCTGGGCCTTCATCCTGGAACACCCGAGCCCCGGGGGCGCTGAGGGGGATGACCCTCTGAGACGAACCCACTCTGAAGGCATCGCAGCAGGCCAGCAGTGCTATGGGGAAAAGAGACAAATACATTGAAGATGATGATGCGGTGAAGCATAATGTCTTATTACAATAAAACAGGGATGTACTTTTTGTTTCTTTGTATTTGATTGATCCCTCAGAGTCGATAACATTGTCAGCAGAAGTTTTACAGGGAAAAGAAAAGAAACTTACAAAATCAGTTCTAAAACATACAATATATGATTGAAATTATAAAAAATATAAAGCAAAAACTATCATATCAAAAATATATATTCATTTTAGCTGCAAACAGTTGGGTACACAGGAGAATAGGAAATATCGGAATTATTGAAAACTTTCAATCTTTTCAATCTTAATTTCTTGATTAAGATTAATGAATGGATACATAAATAAGAGAAGGTACTGTAAAATCGAATACAAGCCAATATATTTGATTTCCTTTCAGTTGTTTGGTTAATAATGTGTATTACTCAAGCCATGTTAAGAAATAAATTACAGGGTCAAAACAAATCAAATTAATAGCAAAAAACAGTCAAGGTCAAATTGAGTGGATTGACAGTCACTTGTTCCCTAAACAGATTTAATGTGTTGTGTTTTTGTTACCCAGCAGAGAGAACAGCCATAACACTATGAGCACTCTGTTGTCTGCATTATACATTAAGTGCCTTTATTTCCCCTGCTGCCCTCCGAAAGAAACTACATTGAGCGGTAACAAGCCATTCATTCTCTCATTCTTCCTATACAGTGGTGCAGCGATGACACATGTTTTAAGAACAAGTTAGTATCACAAAGTCTCCCTTGACAAAATCCAATTGATTTTTCCATTGGATTTTAAAATATTACAGGAAATAATAAGCTCTGTGGCAAACATACATTTATGAAATGTACACATTATGCTCAGCCGGATAGTCTCCACATATTAACACCACTTTATGATTTTTGAAGCATAAATGCAAATGATTTCATGTCACCACCGCTACGCTAAAGGCGGCTAATGTTTGCTGTGATGACGTTTAATTGTCTTATTTTGTGGTACAAAAAAAATATTTTCCTGGTTTTAGGACTTATTCTTGCACAACTCTATTCATTCCTACATTAATTTATAGTTGAAAGCTTCAAGTAATTATTTGCAGATTTGTTTAACCAAGGCTGAGAGATGCTGCAGTGTACATTGTTCTTTGTTTGTTTGCTCATAAAAAAGAAAATCATTTTTAAGAGTCACACACAAACGCATATTTCCATGTATATTGTTCTATTCGTTTTTCCATTGATAACATATCACGGCTCCACATTCACCTATTCTCGTGTCCATATTTCCATCACTTATTCCCAGTCTCCCTCATGTTTCCCATGAGGTGCTCTCTGTCTGGGACCACAGATGGCTGTCTGACCTCAGGGTCTGACTGAGCAGATTATCATATCATCGCCAACATGTCTGCAACACACTAGCGGTCACTACAAAGCCCCTCAGACATTACACTTCCTTCCTGCTGGCCAAAAGATCCCCCATCCCCCCTCCCAAAAAGAAAAGGCTGACTGACCATAGCTGATAAGCGTGAAGATATTGTTCTCTGGGACAAGAGGTCGAGGAGATAGAAAGTCGGAGACAAGGACGATACAGATTGTTATGATTAGGATTTGTGGAGCCCCTGAAATGACTCATCATTAGATAAAGAAGCTGTGCAGGATGAATATGAGGAGATAAAGGGGGCTTCAGTGTGGCGGCAGTGTGGACACATCTCTGTGTCCTGGCTGTTAGTCATGGTCAATTCTCCTGGATTTTGCTTCAATGAAACCTTCAGTATTGGAATACATCAGTCTCCACTCTCCAGCATTCTCTTGTTTTCCAGTTTATTGCTCCAAGAATTCACAGTAGCTGACTGCTGTTAAACTGTCTGATCTGTCTTCCGAATGAGAGCAGAAGATATTCCTCAACATCCTCTTCATCCTGTGTAATTTCAGCTGCCACCCACCATTCGTTGATTTAGACTTCGAAAGGCCAGTTTTAACAGGCAAAAAAACGACTGAATTTCTCAGCCCACCGAATTATTAACTGCTCACAATACCCTACTGATGCTCAGTTCAAATGTAACTCCTGACGGCTAATGATGATGGTTTTAGGGATGGGAAACTCTACCTTTCCTGTCACCACGGCATATTTTTATGTATTTTGTTATGTTCTTTGTTCTATACTAAAATAGTCAGTTTATTTTTCTTACAAAAGACAAAGATAAGAGAGATAAGATGACTTAATAGTCTTAAGTCAACAAAAATCTTACATTAAAAAATATGAAGTTGTCTAAATATGATGAAAAGGACATTTGGCTCAGGATTAAGACTAAAAAAGCTAAATTAACACTACAGTAAACACAAATAATATAACTGTAGGGTGGATTTTCATTAAAATTGGTCCAAATGTCCAGCTATTACAACATCAGTTCAATACAGGAAGATACATTAACATCAGAAATCATTTGTAAGCGTTAAGGAATATAAAAGTTGTCTCCACTTTTCATCCATTAATTTCCCTGTTTGTGAAACTTTCAGTCCCACAGGGACCAGTGGACAGGTAATAAACTTTTGTTCCTGTAATGACTTACCCGAGACACACAGTGGGAAGTCATTATCACCAACTGGAACTTTTCTTGAACTGAATTACAGAGGTGATAGGAGAGCATGTTTTAATCAAGGCATCTTGATTACTTCAGGTACGAGAGGACTCAAGAGAAATATGAAGTCACAGCTCTTGTGGCCCTGTATCATCGAGGTGCAGATCTATTTTAAGGGAGGTGTCTTTTCACTGGAAGCCTCTGCTAGGTTAGACCTGGAGTCCAGTCAACACTGAAATATCTCAACATTTATTTGGTGGATTTCTACAAAATGTTGTCCAGACATTCATGGTCCCCAGAGGATAAATCCTACAGGCTTTTGTGATCCTCTGACTATTCCTATAGTGCCACAATCAGAGCATAATGTAAATCTGTCCGATACTGTGACTAAATTCCAGGCGAAGTAACGACTCTCATAACATAGCCTCACAAAGCATTTCAAATTCAAAGTAATCTCAAAGATCAACTAAAACTGAAAACTAAAACAGATATAGGTTGTATTTTTTATTATCTGTTGCATATTATTTATTTATTTGATTTCAATATATTTTCTAAATACTTATGTCTTGCCTCAGTTCTCCCCTTCCTTCTTCGAAATGTAACTAGATGTTAGCTAAAACTAACATTGAGAAAATGTTCCTGCATTTCACATCATTTATTACCTCTGTAAACATTTTCTTTTGATATCCCTATTCTTTAAAGATCACCTATTATGCTATATTTGAAAAATATATTTTAGGGCCATATCTATACAAAACATGTCTCTGAAGTGTTTTGCTCAAAATACCAAACAGATCACCCAGCCATGCCTCATACCCCTCTATTTCAGCCCTGTTACTAAAGTGCTGATTCTGGGTCCGTAGCTTTAAATGTTATCGAGCTGCTGCTGGCCACGCCCCTTTGGAGCGCCATGCAAGCAGTGAGCTCTGTGAAAAGAGAAGTTTCTACTCAGCAGATACTCAGCTAAATGCTGCCGTGATTAAACGCCATATTATGTACCAAATCACATCAAGGATTATTTCTGAAACAGTATGGAGCTCAAATGCTTTCACTCTCACGGGTTTACCACAAGGTGAGTTCCTTTTTATATCCGGCTTCTTAACACATATTCTCTCCAGTACAGGTTAGCTCTGTGTGTTAGCGATGCTTGCTAATGTAAACACAGACCATATTACTTCCAAAACACATCGTGCATTGTTTCTGATACAGCAACGTTTCTGATAGGGTCGTGGGCGTAAAGCCAGCCCACAATTTAGTAATGTCGTCATGATCGCAGCAAACCTGGATCAGCTCCGTTGTACCCCCGTTTTTAGAGATGTGGGTAAGGAGGAAAAAAAGAGAGGGTTGTATTTTCTGACACTTTGCGAGTCTCCTTGCACACCAGGGACACATATTTATATGTGAAGCGCATTTTGCATAATAGGTGACCTTTAAGGTAAAAACAAGAAGAACATCTGTTCACCAACAGCTGATTATCTCTAAACACTGATATCTCCTTGCAAACATATTGTAGACTTGTATTTCACCTTCAGAATGTGCTTAGTATAAAAACCAGTGGCCTATAAAATGTCCCGCATGCCGCACTGATCGCTGTGGATGACTGATCCAAGGAGAAGAGATGGAGGAAGGGAATTAAAGATGGAGGGATGAACAGCAGAAGTGAAGAAGTGCTGCGGTGGTTTAAATTCCTCCCTTTTCCCAAACCCTCAAAGTCAGCACTGTGCCGATATAACTGCACGTTAGTAAAGTCTGCGTGTGCATTTCTGACAACCCAAGGACCAAAAAGCGAAAGGAGATGACAGAAAATCTAGTCGTGTTTAGCAGAGTCCAGAGCTGCTGTCTGTGTGATTATTTTGGAAGCAGCCGATAACACCATAAATTAATGTATCGACTCATTGATGTTTGAATATTTGGCTGAAGAGCGAGGACTTGTAGTGTATATTAAAGCCTGAAGAGAGGGTTTCAAATGTTTGTGCTGATGTAGCTTTCACCTTCCCAATGCGGAGTAAGTATACCCAAGAGGTGTATTAAGAAAGATGGTACAGTACTACTAATGCACTGCAGTGAAATAAAACAACACAAATCAATCTTTACAATGGATAAAAGGTCATAGATAGATGTACCACTTGCCTGTTAAGCTTTACGGAGCATTTTAGCTTCTTTCAGTTGATCATTTTGGTTTTACAGCCAATAACATTTTTTGGTTTTAGCCACATTAGCTTGTTGTTTTTAGCTATAACGCTATGATAAATACCACTAAACCCAACCTTCTAAGCACCAGTAGACAGTCTGACAAAGTTAGCAGCTAGCTGGTGAACCAGTGTTCTGTTAGCCTTTATTTGGGAAACTTTGACCGGAAAAATCAGTTGAATCAGTTTCTCTCATAACAGAAACGCTGTTGTGAACGTATTGGAGCATTAAGCAGTTAAAGAGCCAGAAAGTTCCCTCAGGAGTTGGTGGAGACCAAAACAGAGCTTTAGCAAATGAAGCTATCTTAATACATGCAAACATAATTGCGCCCCTCTACTTGCAAATTATACTATACATCTTTGGCCTCTCTGTTAAACAGACCAGACCTAGGCAGGACATGACATTATGAACCTGTAACACAGAAAACCTAGCATGATAACTTGTCCAACACCTACTCTAAAGTCAACAATAAACATGGTTGCCATGTACACAGTTTATTCAAATGCTGCCCATCGGCAGCAAGAATACCAAGCCATGTGTTTGGTAGACGCCAATTATCGGAAATTAGGAAGCACAATTAGTCACCTGCTTTACTGTAAGCATAGTGTATAATTTTAGGAACAAAAATAAACAGGAAAATATGCATTTAAACAGAAAAAAGCCAGAGGCAAAAATAAATATGATAACCCTACAAATCTCAAAATAGGCTTCCTATGGAGCTCATGCCTCTTTCTATTTGAAACCCTGGCTAATTATCAACATATAACATTGAAAGATAAACCAAATATGAATGTATCATATATGTCTTGTCTGTATTGCACGCTTATGCCTATGATGTGGAACACAAGCACATCTCTCTCATGCTGAACAGTCTTGTTTCAGTACTCCAAAGTCACCTTGCAATGTTTTGTCTACAAAGGCTACTTTGCAGCGTAATAACTTCAAATCCTTCCACAGTCCATCCAGCAGGAGCTGAGTTATCAGCTTCACACAGATACACTCCAGAGGATATGAGCAGCTGCTGGAGGGAGATACTCCAAAGTCCATCAAACAAAACTGAAATGACTGAAGTAGAGAGGAAAAACCCTTCCTTCATTATGGCTGGGAAGTTAAAGCATGGAGAAAAAGAAACAGGAAATCTGGACATCAATAACCAGAAAACACACAACGGTGTTAAATGATTTGTTAATAGCATAAATGTTGTGTATTTATAGTAAGGTTTTAAAGTGGCTTAAAGAGGCCCTATTATACTATTTGTGGTGTTCCCTTCCCTGTAGTGTTATATAGGTTTGTGTGCATGTAAACGGTCTGCAACGGCTAAAATCCCTGTGTTCCCTCCTACATCCCCGCCTGTCTGAAACGCCTCCATTGAACTCCTTTGTTCACTTCAGTAACATAATGACATCACTATGTAACACTCTTCTATTGGCTAGCCACTCCAACACATTGTAAGTGAAAGGCTAAGAGGCGGGACATCTATAAGCAGTTGAGCAATCAAATCAGGGCTGGCCAGCTAACCAATCAGAGCAGACTGGGCTCTGGTTTCAGACAGAGGGTGAAAAGAGGTGCTGCAGCACAGGCAGTATGAGAAAAATAAAGAGCTTTTTGAACATTAAAGCATGGAGACATGTCCCAGGAGAGGAACAACATACAAATATGAAACATGGAAATTAGCAAAATATGTCCTCTTTGCGTGATCTTAAATTTGTTTATGAGAAAAGACGATTATCAGGGTTCTGATGCTTCTGAAAATGTTTTTAATTAATACCTTTAGTGTTCTTAATATTGAACGCATCTGAATGCTGTAAAAAAAGTGTATTAATAATGTCATCATGACATCAAATTAAGTCATTATGTCAAGAACGTTTACAATAATGAAGTCATGACAATTTTGCACATTTTGGCACAATACCATATTCAACAGCAGAGCTCTTCCACTTTTAATTCACATACAGTGAACATATTTTTCCACAGTAATTTGTAATAGACTGAAGGTATTTATTTTTGGGAAATGTATATTTTTGGATCTTTTTTTATTTGACAGTCTTTTTTAAATAAAATACTGTACCTATACTTTCTTTCTACTGTGTTAATGTATTCACTATACACCAAAGCAAATGTGTTGTTTTGAAAACCAACAATTTTGCTCCTGATTCTACTGATCTTGATTTAAAAAAAAAATAATAATAAAGTGTGTTATTTAATAAATGTTCCAACACTTCCAACACCCCTTCATTCACTTCACATGCACAAACTCAACACACACCGAGCAGAAAAAGCTTGAAATGCAAGTGTCAGTGAGTCTTAACAGCAGCTCGTAACATAAAGAAAACCATTTCTGAAAAACAGAGGAAATAAAATGTTGGAACCATGGCCGTTTAAGGCTTCTGTAGCATGCAGCAGTCTCTCTGCTGTATCAGTGTAACCGTGTGGGTCTGTGGACACACAGCTGATCACAGATGTTATCAGGGTGAGAGTCTCCATAAACACTGCAGAAACCTTCAGTTCACATGGACAATCAAATGTGACGCTACATTTCCCTTCCTGCTGTGGCTCCAGCTTTAGTTTGGACTTCAGTACATTATGTTAGAGGAGGGGGTGTTGCCCCTAAAGCCCCCTCAGATCAGCTTATAGTAGACCGGACCCTCCCCCAAATCCCCCTTCACCCCAACCGAGAGACAGCAAGGGTGAAGAGGTTCAGCATCCTCTTCCTCACCCTTTTACCTCCTCTGTTTCCTCAGCAAACCTCCATTTGCAGCCAGCAGCAGGAAGATTTATGCACAATGTTTTATCACGATAAAAAACGTTTCTAAATAGCAGAATTATTTATACTTATTTATGTTTGCACCCTTAACATTTACTATTACTTATGTTTCAATATGCTGTAGGCACTATTATTATCATTATTATTATAGTTATTGTTTTATTCAAATGTATTTTTTATTTTATTTAAACTAATAATAATGTTTTTATCTTTAGACACAATTATTATAATTGTTCTATATTATTTTTCTCTTGCAGTTATTATTATTTTATAAGCATTTTGTTGTTGTTATTCAATTATTAGTTAAAATATGTATAAACAATAATACACATAAACACGTGTGCTATATTTATTTCCCTCAAAACACTATTTTAAGTCCCAGTAACTGTTAGATATTAATATGACTATTATTTTTATCCTTATTTGGTTGATTTTTTCGTACATGTATCATGTATAGATCTGTATTTCACCATGATTTCTTTGTGAATATATTTATATATTTTTATTTTGCCTGTTTCTAACACTGTTGTCCCAGTATATTCACTACACTGTGTGAAGTGTGTTTTCTTTTGACTTGCAGAGGCAGTAATGTTGAATGTACACTTAATAACCAGCATGGAAGCTGCTGTATCAGAGCAGCTTCACAAGCACAGAGGATCTGAACCTCAACATCACATGTCAAGAGAAACAGCAGCATGAGAACATCCCAGAGGAACATGTGGAACTTCATGGAGGCAGATGTGTGCCGCTGCAGATGATGATAATGATGGTGGAACTATTCATCTAATATTCAATCCACACATGTTGCACATATTCAGATGATGGACTTCAGTCAAAAGATGTCCTGGTTCCTAGCTAACAAATGTGATGATTTGAAGCTCTTTTTCTCATACATGATGATAAATTAAATATGATATCGAATGTTTTTAGCTGCAGGAAATTATTAAAGAGATTAAAACATATATTTTCTTACAATTTGAGGTCAAAACAATAAATCCATTGAGTGAAAATGTTAAAAGATAACTTAATTTGTGAGTAAGTAATCATTTAGCTAATTTATTTTTAAAAGAAATCCCGCATCTCAAATGGGACATTTTGTTCAATGTATTTGTTTTATATTGCTAGGAATGTTATATATAAAACAAGAATATATTATAATTGTTTTAATCAATGCAGGACAATAGTTTAGCAGGTATTGAAAACATACAGCATTGTTTTGATTCATCACATAATCAATACATTAAATGACCATGACAATGCAAAACTCCTTATTTATCCTGATTAAAACTAATGAATTGAAGATCATTTTCAGTGTGTGTTTGTGTCAGACACTGCAGTGTGTGTCTGCTGATTTATGTGCACTGCGTGCCTCCCACACACTGCAAGCCTTTGCATCCACTTTGCAGAATTGAACCTTAGGGATTCATTAGAAAAACACCCTGATTCATAACAGAATCACTAACACTTCAACATACTAACAACACTTGTACAATACTGCAACGAGTTATCACAAGTCTGTTGTGTTTTGTAGTGAGTTTACACTGTGTGCTGTTTTTCAAAGTCTCCGAAGATTTCTCTGCTGTATATTCTCAGCGTTTTTAGTTGCGCTATGTGTGTTAGCTGGTTGTGCTCATAGCTGGATGAAATGGATAGATGTAGACATTAAAGCACTCACCAGTCAGGGTGATGTACAGCAGGCCCGGCATGTCTGCTGCAGTGCTGCTCCTCCTCCTTCGCTCAGGACAGTCCTCAGATTCAGCTGCAGATGCTCTCTGGATGCACGAGGAGCAAAAACGCCGAGCTCATGGCCGTGTGCGCGAGATCACTGACCGCCTAATGTCCGTGCAGACAGACAGAGAGGCGGACAGACAGGCAGGCAGGTAGACAGACGGGCTGGGTGACGGGCTGTGTGTGGGGCCGAGCTGCGGTCAGGTCTGCTCTGCTGCACCACCGTCGCTGGAAATAACCGCCAGGCAGCAGCTGTACTTCCTCCGGCGGCCGCTAGATGTCACTGCAGCTGCGACTGACAGATGCGTTCAGGTGCTCCTCGGAAAGTAGTATTACTCCTTATCATTATACTGTACTTTAAACCAAAAACAATACAGAAAATTGTTATCTGGGTAAAAGAGTAATGGAACTGATAACAAATAAACCAAGGGAAATTAAAATATATATATATATTTAGAGAAAATTCTATGTTTCACAATTAAATACTACTGATAACACCAATACATCATTATTTCGAGATTTCTGCCAGTACAAATATTTTTTTTAAATTGCCTGATAGAATTCATTATAGTGAGAAACTTTCAAAATTACGTAGTATCACGAAAATACCAAGAAACCTACTTTTAATATACTAAGTCATTTTGAGAAAGTTTTTCATTGTGTTTTGAAACAAAAATATAATTTAAAGAAATGTACTAAAACATACATACAGGCTTAGAATACAAATTAAGCTACCCAGCACTATACAATGAAAATAATATTAACGCCAATAATTATAACTCAATAATATAACCATTATTCTGAAATCGTTCATTCTTCCTAATGCAGGACCTTGACTCGTAACAGAGTATTTCTAGATACTGGTGTTACTACTTTTACTTTTACCTTCGGGCAGATTTTAAGGAATTTCATATTTTATTATCACCTTCTTCCAAATTATATCAGAGCAATTGGATTAAATATGCTCAGCCCTTTAGTAATTCCAGTGTAAAATATCCTTTAACAAGTAAAACCTCTGTAAAATCAAGCAACAATACTGTTTTTCCAGGTTGGAAATTTAGACACATTTTCTGCACATCCTGCATTCAAGTTTTCTAATCAGTCGAGACATTTATCCGTTTAATATGCTGCATGCAGTCAGTACATTCACCCAGTCAGCAGAAATTAAAGGCAAAACACTGCAGAGGGATCAATTAAAGCATCCTTCATTAATGAGACGGTGACAAAAAAAATGTTTGACAAATATTTAATATCAAATAGACCTGCTTCATTCACTTCACATGAACAAACTCGACACACGCCGAGCAGAAAAAGCTTGAAATGCAAGTTTCAGTGAGTCTTAACAGCAGCTCGTAACAGAGAGGAATCAAGTGAAACCACTAATCCTGTTTCTTGAATAACACAGACGTAAACATGTACATTTATTTACAATCGGCCCCACCTGAGGGCGGCTAAAGAGACGGGAAGATGGAAAATGCAGGGTGATGTCATCGCTGATTGTTTCTGAAAGATCTGAAAAGTTCATTCTGTTTGTTAATTTAGATGTATATACATGTTTTTCCAGTAAAATATTTTCATTTGGGTTGTTTTACAAACATTAGCTTTCACTCAAACTCTTCATCTGGTGAAGTGACTTTCTGTAAGTTCATCTTCTACATCCCCTCTTCCTCAATGCTACTTTAGGATTTAAACAGGTAAGCACAACATTTAAAGCTCCAAAAGATCATGTTTGTGGAGTGTTCATGCTGCATTTTACCACCTTATCTTCTACCGCCTGCTTCCTCCAGCGGAACAATTTCATTCGTTCAGACATAAAAAGTCTAACCCTGGAGTCCAAAAATGTTTCTTCCCAATGACCCATTTTGGGCCATGCAATAAGAGTTCATGAAGCACTATGAAGAGAGGAGGAGTCTGTGAGGGCTCCTAGAACTGCTGCAGGATCAGTTTCTTCTTCCCGTCGTGGCTGAACTTGTTGGAGCGGAAGATGTCGCTGTCATAGAACGACGACAGGTTGTGGATGTTGATCTGTCTAGCCTGGAGGAGGAGGAAGTGAAGACGGGAGATTAGAGCTTGGATTTCTCTTTCAATAAGGACAGCAGAGATGGGAAATAATCTTTGTTTTGCAAGTCACAAGTATCAAGTTTTGGCTATGAAGTCCCAAGATGATCCAACTAATCTATATCAGAATTAGGCATGTGACAAGAACCGTTACTATGGTAACAAGTAGATGTGTAAAACATAGCTTAGGAAACAGTCAGGGCTCGAGAGTACCGGCACTCTAGGGACAATAGAAAATGTGTTTGTGACACAGTGAAGTCACCACAAACACATCCACCTACATTGTGTATCCATGTGGAGAACAGCAGGAGGAGACGTAATGCTTGTTGCTGGTGACAGGAGGTAACAGCATTTTTTTTTTTTTTTTTTTTTTTTTTAATGGTGTGTTAAAGGGTAAAGGTAATTTATAACGATGATGTGGTGATGATATTTTCAACTTTCAAGATTTAAGTTTGGTTAGAAACTTTAATACATTTATTTGAAATGGTTTTAGAATGATATTAAACTTCCTAAAAAACAGAATACAACGGGTAAAAAGGGAGAGTTTGTTGAAGTATATGGGATTTATTTGTCTGTTTTTACCATAGTTAAGAATTTGATCAAAATCTTTCACTACTATTTGTTTTTATGACTTAAATTCTGATATGACATCCTTATTTTGGTTGATCTAAAAAACAAACTGCTTATTATTATATTATTAAGGCTTACGTAAAAGGCTTGTTTCTTTGTCTTGTTTATTTATACTCTGAGTTTGTATTTTGAACAAAGCGCATGTACGGACAAAATAAATCAATAAAAAAAATATATATTCAATTTATTAATTTAGGAGGAAAATCCATTTCTTATCCTTTATTTTATTTTCTATTTTTTACTATGAAAAACCCCTGTTACCTTATCGTGCAGGTCTTTCTCTGCCACCTCGATGGTGTCGTTCTGGACTCCGTATCTGTTCCTCTGGTAGGCCACCTGCTCGGCCATCAGCTGTTTGAGGATGAAGAGCAGCAGCTCGTTGTTGTCCCTGCGGAAGGCCAGGTACCGAGAAAACGTCTGGACGGAAACGCAGAAGACGCCCACGTTAGAGAACTCCACAGTAGGCACAGGTACATTTCTCTGTGCTCGTGTTTAAACCGCCACACTCACCTTCCTCATGCTCCTCATGACGCTGAACTTCTGCGTGTCGATGAAGCTCTCCAGCATCACCCTGATGGCCATGTTCACGTCGTCCTCCAGCACGTAGTCCCTCAGGTGCATCTTGGCGTGAGCCTCGGCCATGCGGATCATGGACTCGATGTGACGCACGGTGATGGGGATGCTGCCCGTCGCCTGTTAAACCAGAGGGACGTTTCATTATTACAATCCAGAGTGCCATTAAAGCCGCTTTTAGTGTAAAAGAAGTCGTTTTATTAAACAAATTAGGTAGCCAAACCCTTTTGAAATGTGCAAATCAGCATTAATATCTAATAAATACTATTGTGAAGATTTAAATGTTATATATATTGTGCAGAACAATTTGCATTTTTACTTTTAACTTTGAATATCTTTAATTTATCTTTTTATTGCACATTCTTACGTTTATATAAATATTTATTGTATTAATTTTTATTTTATTCCATTCTAAAATAGAGCACAAGAAATAAAGTGTTCTGAGGAAGTGCAATATTATACACACAAGTCTTATTATTACACCTTCTTCTACTTCGGTACATTTGTAAGTGACATTTTCTGATCTTGTTTTATTGTCAGTGAAAGGTTGTGGAGTTGGGAGCCCTCACCATGGACTCTTTGCGCAGGTCGCTGTAGATGCGAGCCACTTTGTCCTGATCCATCTGGTTCAGTTTGGGATGAATCTGCAGACACAATTAACATAAACCTTTAGGGCAAAATTGTAGCAACACTTATATTTAACTCAATACATGGAAAAAAATACATTTCATTGTATATTTAACAACATTTAAGAGATTTGTTGTCTCTAAACTTGAAGCAGCGACCAAATATCTGCTTTAAAAAAGACTGAAAGGGCAACTCAAATACTTGACTCCTATTTCAAGTAAGCAGGCACTAAAGGGGGTTTTCACATGTTTTAATAGCGTTTACAGAATAATGATTACCGAAGCACGAAGATAAACATGTATTAGTGAAGATGGAGGTGTTTAATCGTACCCGCTCCTTGGCGTAGATGATGTACTTCCTCAGGAGCACCTGGGGAATGGGCGGCGCGTCGGACGTGTTGGGCAGAATCATTTCCTCCAAGGCCACGCCCGATTCTTTGTTGCTCGGGTGATGCTTGATGTGGGAGCCAACCACGAAACGTGCTAACATCTCATCCTGGTTTAGAGAAGAGCCAATCACAAGAAAGAGGAGAGGAGCAGTGAGTGTCTGATGCCTGATACGTGAAAATACTTGAGCCACTGGTGGTCTTCAATAAAGAAAATGTGTCTTTAACGTTTTGTCAGTTCGATCCTTTCCCTCAGGACCCTTTTACAGGGGGCCAAATGATCAGCAACAAACCAACTAAATAAATAAATGTGATTTTAACCAGTAAAATAATACTATGTATGGTATGAATAAGACTAAAGCATATTCACATTCTCATCCGTTTTCTTATGATGCTGCCTCTAAAGTTTGTTCAGCTTGTCTGATCAACTTTGATCTCTTTGTTTAAATTGTTTTGCAACCTTCTGGGATCATTTAAGTACACAAAATGCATTCTCATGTTCAGATACCTAATGAGGAAATGTTACTTATTATAAGCTACTTATCAATTCCTTTTATATTCCAAAACATGAAATACTAAAGGGATTTGACAGTGAAGGGTGACGTACTGATTAACGTGCTTTACATCTGGCCCGCTTTGGGACTTTTCAACATCGGTTTAAATCAAATTGTATAACCTTGTCTTAAAACACAAGTCATGTCTGTCTACAGTTGAATTAAAGTGATGCGAGTGTTTACCTGCACGGGGTCGACGGTGTCTCGGACGATACACAGGACGTCAAAACGAGACACGATGGGCTCCGTCAGGTCCACGTTCTCAGAGAAGGTCAGCGAGGGGTCGTACCGTCCGCCTGCAGGGAAACAAGACCACAATTCAAATCATGCACAAAAAACTAAAATTCTTAAAATATTTCTAGATGTATTAAT